ATGTATTATATATGTTTGTTTATCGATTTTATTGATAATATACTACAAAGATAATTATATAAACAAAAAAATGATTTCTAAAAGAACTTTATTCCTAATATATTATTCATGTAATAAGGTGATCGACCGTCTGTTTCAAAATAACTATAAAGTATATAGGTCAGAAAAATATGCAGTAACTTTATTTCTTGCAACTAGTCGTACGTTATTGGTTACAATAATGATAATCTGCTGATAACGGGATTTATATGCCAGCATATTTTTCCCATGTGTTTGCACGTTTTTCTTGCAGATCTTATCTTGTACAATCGGTGGAGTTTAAATCTGATTGATATTAATAGGCATATTTGATTAATGATATAACTATATTCTTGATTATCTTGAATATCATTTCAGACTTTTTAATATATATATTTTAATATTTATATTAATAATAGATTTAGAAAAATCTTTCATATTGGAATCAATAAATTAACATAAGAGTAATTAAAATAATTTAATAATAATATTAAATAGAGGCTCTCGAAAATAAAATCTAATTTAATAATAGGGCAATAGAGCCAAGCGCGGTAAATAGTGCGCAACAATGCTTTATTTAAAATACGACATCAAATTAATAAAACGTGTTTAAAATACGACATCAAAATAAAACGGACGATTCGGCTACTTATTTTAGCCATCTTCAGCGCAAAATTGACAATTACTATATAAAAAATACAAATAAAATTAAAGAACGAGTTCGCAATCGCATGATCTTAACGATTAAAAGAACGCAGTTACAAATATAGATCTCTTAGCATAGTCGCGACGCTAAACATTATTCCTTTAAAATAATTTAATTTGTATGTAAAATACACAAGTTATATTAAAAAATAATTTTTTTATATCAATAGCTAGATAGTATATTAAATGATATTTTTATTTTTTATTTTTGCGAAGGATATTTTGCAAATTATAGAGAGAGAGAGAGAAAAAGTTTACTAGTTATGATACTTGCACACGTTTTAAATAGTCATCCGCACAAAAACCGGTTGTAGCAAATGTCATGTTTGCAAATAAGTGTTCTATCGAAAGGCTTGAATACCAAAAAAAAGGCTCGATATAACTGATTGCAGCATCGATTTCGTAGATTTAAAGATATAAAGATATATTATTGTTATTGCTTTTTATCGATTAAATAATATTCTCAACAGATTGTTGTGTTTTCCATAATAATATAATATGTTTTATATATAAAATTTGTGTGTTTTACATAATTCTGCTGCCAAGGTTTATTTTAATAATTTGGGTTTTTTTTTTGCAGTCGCGTTAAATTTTCCTCAAGCATGATATTTGCGAAGCAACATTACGTCCTCGAAAGATTTTCGTGCACGAGATGTAGGCGACGACCTACTTCGACATGTGTATTCTGCAAATATGATTTTAGGGTTGTAAATACATGAGATAAGGAGTGTAATTATATCAAGTAAAAGAACCTAAACACTTGCACTGTGTTCAAAAATATCGTGTTATTCATAAGCGTAATAACGTTACCCCGAATATTTTTGAAATAAATATTTTTTAAGTATACATATTTAGCTTCTTAAAAAAAAAATATATGTGCAGGAAAAACAACGTTATATCAAAGTCGCGATAGAAAAATATGGAATAGATAAATCCGAGAAATCATATCGATGATCAGTAACGGATCGATAATCAATGCGATAATCGCCGAATGGAATATTTCGTCACGCAAAATAGCGCCTAATAGCAATTTCGATTTCGAGTACGTTACGATTCATGTAAAATCATAGTATACAGCGCGACGAAATTATAATGCGAATACTATAATTATAACGCGCAGTCAGCAACATTGCTCCCACCACGTGGACGGGTACCGTCCAATGCCGCAGTGAAAAGTGAACCTAGTCGCCAGCCTCTCTATACGAGTGGTTACGCCCCGTGCAGGGTCAGACTCGCGGATCCGCGCCGCGAATATCTAGTTATGTTTACGCGACGTTCGTGTATACCAGGTCGAGCGAGTATCGTCGCGTTCGTTTCCTCACGGGATCAATCGCCACGAAGAGGTCTTAGCCGGTCTTATCAATACGGGACGAATACTTAACGACGCTCGTACGAACGACACGGTTCGTGTTCGCCGCGTGCGTTTTCCGCGTCGTGTTATGTGATGTTCGCACGTACGTCTCGATCATGAATACAATAAAGAAAGAAACGTGAAACATAAATGATAAAGTTGAGAATGTAATTAATCGAGAATTAATCCAGTGGTATTTCTACGCACTCTTGTGGTTCGTCCTGTGGCTCATCAAATTATTTTCGCCTCGTTAACATTAGTATTAGTAATCGTTCGCGAAAATGCGAACACGCCGATTATCAACAAATATATTCTTCGCAATGTGACGCGATCTGTGCAGGAATTTCTCGAGTTTGGATGCGTTATCGTGGAAACGTAATATTCAATAATGATACTGTCAGTCGTAGATTCATCATCTTGTAGTATCGTCGCAAGAGATTGTGTAGTGCTTCTGATGCGTGTTAGCGCCAATTATTTTCGTCGTTCTGACATGCACACCGAATAATATCGTCGAATATTTCGACGAGATAGACTCTTCTACCTTTAGCCACGTTACAGAGTCACTCTCGTGAGCGATAACGCGTACGACGGTACTTATAGTCGAGGAATGTGCGCGATCGCGTTTCTGCGGTACGCTCGCGGTTCTGGGAATGTTGATTTTGTTAACCGAGATGCGCCGAGCATGTTAGCTTCTATTAGCTGGCCATAATTAATATGCACCAGCGCGAGAGGTAAAGCCGACGTACTCTCGATGACTATTGTGAAAGAGAGAAAGGAGCATCTGGCGGAGCGGAGGTGCTAAACACTTCGTCGTTGACTCTAAGAGCGGATTTTGCGATCCCGTACATGCTGCTATCTTTATCAAGTTGTGAAGATTCCGGACTTTTAAATTTCGCCAGAAACTATTTGCGCACGACAACAAGAAATTTTGCTTTTTCTAATCTATTAAATGAAAAGAGGAACAACACGTAATCATTTGCGTAATTGCTTCGATGCTATAAGAAGAAGATTAAATCAAGACACTTCACGAAATTGTCAAGCTCTTCGATGAGCTTGAATGGCGACGATGGGAGTTATCGTATATATTCCAAGTAGGTAATTGCGCTTATTTCAAATCCTTTATGCCAAATAATTCCTATCATTTAGTATGATTTAAAAGCGTAAACTGGATTCGTTTATTTCTTTAATATTACATCGTTATAATCTTTCACAGTGGCGCAATTTCGTTAGATTAAAAATATAGTAACAAGCCAAATATAT